TCTCTCTCTCTCTCTCTCACACACACACACACACACACACACACACACACACACACACACACAGAGCCACGCGCGTGAAGAGCGAGGAAAACGATGCCCGGAAGGACAGAGTTATGCAGACGGAGAGAAGACGCAAGAGTGAAACTCCGATAGACGAGCGAAAAATGTGAGTTAGATGGGCGGCACCGACGACACTGAGGCACACGGGGGTATGGACGGAGAACAGAAACACCAGAAGGGAAGGGAGACTGAGATGGCTCGCAAGAGAGAGGAGAAAGACGACAGATAATTCAGAGAAGGGGAGATTATTATCAAGAAAGGCAGAATGGACATATAGGATGGTTACCGTATGCAGACAAGGGGAGGAAGAAAGCGGGCATATAGGCGTTTAGTGTACGCAGAGAAGGGAGAAAGAACGGACATATAGGCGGTCAGTATATGCAAGAAAACATTACGGTTGAGACCGATCGAAAGGACCGACAGTGAGCGGGCGGAGAGCAAATAGCCACACAAACAAGACGGAAGCGTAGACGGAGCTACCGGCGGAGGAGGAGTGAGAGGACAAGCTTCAGTAACGTGCAAAGAGATGGAACAAGTAAGACAAGTGGCAGAAAAGGGGGAAGATGCAGCGAATAGACATGCAAAGGGGGGGGGGGGGGGGGGGGAGAGATGCATGCCCACGCGTAAGGGCAGAAATGGGACGAGTGCAAGATGAAACCAGTAGAAGAGCGGCAGACAATCCGACAACGTAGAATAGTCAATCTACACTAGAAAATGGCGGGTGAGAGAAAAGAGATGTTTTCACTATTTAAAATAAAAACAAATAAAAAAAAATAAAAAAAATAAAAAACTCCGACTTGACGCGAGACACGCACGCATGTAGAGCGGCAGAAGAAAACGAAAAGTGACAGCAGCGTCCATACATATAGACTGCTTTTTTATCGCACATGCAACCAGGCAGCTAATCATCATTACTCTTCCGCATGTAAGTAATCTTCTCGGTAGAAACGCGCACATTCCCCGACGCGTTTTTTTGGGCCAGGCTGCGCTCCTTTGGTAGCACTCCTCAGAGGGCTTCTCCATAGATCGCCTGTCGGCACCACCACCAAGCTTACCATCCATCTGTACGAGAATAGAGGGCCGACGGCCTTTTACCCTCTCGTATATACTGGTCACCTAACGCAGTAATGTAGAGCGGCAGAAGAAAACGAAGAAGAAGAAACAATCAGGAATAGAAGAAGAGGGGTGTGACAGACGTACGGCTCAAAGGGCAGTCGTTACGAATCCTGTCACCTTGAGTGTCGAAGAAGAAGGAAGAAGTAAAAAAAAAAAAAAAAAAAAAAAAGAGGCATGTTGGGAAAGAGAG